GATGGACCCGACACACGCACCGTGAATACATGGAATGATGAGAGGTTTCGTCTCTCTATATATATTAAACCTACACCTGGGTCACAAGTCCCAGTCACTGTTGAAGCTCCTCTCACTACAACGATGGACCCGACACACGCACCGTGAATACATGGAATGATGAGAGGTTTCGTCTCTCTATATATATTAAACCTACACCTGGGTCACAAGTCCCAGTCACTGTTGAAGCTCCTCTCACTACAACGATGGACCCGACACACGCACCGTGAATACATGGAATGATGAGAGGTTTCGTCTCTCTATATATATTAAACCTACACCTGGGTCACAAGTCCCAGTCACTGTTGAAGCTCCTCTCACTACAACGATGGACCCGACACACGCACCGTGAATACATGGAATGATGAGAGGTTTCGTCTCTCTATATATATTAAACCTACACCTGGGTCACAAGTCCCAGTCACTGTTGAAGCTCCTCTCACTACAACGATGGACCCGACACACGCACCGTGAATACATGGAATGATGAGAGGTTTCGTCTCTCTATATATATTAAACCTACACCTGGGTCACAAGTCCCAGTCACTGTTGAAGCTCCTCTCACTACAACGATGGACCCGACACACGCACCGTGAATACATGGAATGATGAGAGGTTTCGTCTCTCTATATATATTAAACCTACACCTGGGTCACAAGTCCCAGTCACTGTTGAAGCTCCTCTCACTACAACGATGGACCCGACACACGCACCGTGAATACATGGAATGATGAGAGGTTTCGTCTCTTGCCCTTATTAAGAAGAGAATTGTTGAATTCATTAAAATTCACAAAATAAAATCTTTAAAAAAATCTACAAATGACGTAAGTATTGTACTTCAAGTGTTTGGAATAAAATGGATCAATAATATAGAATAATACTAGAAGACCTGGCGAACTTCTTATCGCCCTATAATTAAGATATATCTGTTACGTTTTTTTATTTATATTTTTGGAGTTTACCTATTAAAGCCATAAATCTCCGTGTCTTGAAGCGTGACAGAATGATTGACATATTAGTTAGTTGTCAAATCTAATGTCAAAAAAAAAACGTTTGTATCAACAACTACTAATAAATTAAAAATTAATTAAAAAAACATTGTCCAGCGGACAAAATTGTGAATCTAAACCATTCCCTTTGAACACACACAAAATTTCATTAAAATCGGTCCAGTTTGAGAAAAGTTCAGTGACATACACACTCACAGAATAATTATATATACAGGGTGACTGGTGAATTACTATCAATATTTAAGGAGCATACTCGGTACATGATTCTCATTCGAATTATGTAAAAAAAATAGGTACTTAATTTTTGACAAAATTTCCGTATAAATAAGTAAAGTGTTGACACGTTCCAAGTGTTCAAGTGTGGACGCGTGCGGCGGCGTGCTGATACAACACCACGTCACGACATGCGTATGTGTGTGTGTGTGTGTGTGTGTGTGTATACCTAATCTGTAGGGTGTTCATACGATGCGTAATTAATTACATAACTTTTGGTTAACTTTACTTAAAAGTTTATTAATATTTATGTTATATTAATTTTTATTCTGTCATATATGATCGTCAAATATCACGTCCTAAAATATCGATAGTAATTCACCAGTCACCCTGTATAGAGATATATGTATATGTTGCGTAGTTTATAGTAATTAGTTTAGATAAAATTTGACCCAAAAAATAAAGTCATTAGTGAGGTAGGTCAGTGACCTTATTCATTTAAAACTCATTTAGTACGACGGAAACATACATATTAATATACATATACTTCTAGAACTAATCCAATTATGTGTATAGAGATTTTAATAATGATAAAAAATCAAAATAATATGTTATTTTGTTGAATTACATTCTTTAGTCTACATTTTTTAGGTTTTTTAGTAAAATTAAATTAAATTATAAATAACATAATTATTAATTTATCAGTAATTATTTTTGATATCGAAATGGATTTATACTTATTATAATTCAGTGGTGACCTAGTGGTTAAAGGGTCCGCCTCTCGTACATGAGGGAGCGGGTTCGATCCTCGCAAGTACCAATGTGATTTTTCCGAGTCATATCTACATTCTAAGAGTATTTAGACATCACTGATTAATGCATTCCCAAAGAGGGTTGATGTCAGGCAGGCGGCCGGTCGTAAAAACAATTAGCCAAAATTATTCACAACATGTAAGGCAAACCCTGGCTAAAACTGGGAAATTGCCAGGTAAAAGAAGACATATAATTAACTTAAATAACAAAAGTAACAATCATTTACAATTATTTTTCAACGCGAGACATTTTTAGAACCTGGAGAATCAGGTTTTAAAATACGCTACATAATACATACATACGATATTAAACCTTATTTTTAATTATAAATAAGGTTTAAAATACAATGGCAAGATTAAACTTGATATGTTTGAATGCATCTTTAAATCAATATCTCAATATGTCAAATGAAAATGAACTTTATTATAATTGGAGTAAGAGTTAATTATTCTGTGTTTTATATATATTTAAAAAACATACAATTAAAATATCAATCCATATGTATTATACGTGTCTTGTAAGTACACTTTGTTTTAATATATATGTATATAAGTATGTTAGTAAGTTAGTAGTAATAATTATTATATACATATTTATAAAAGCAAAGCATTTTCTGATACATCACAATCCTGTTTCTTTCTTGTTTACTGAGTTATTCTAAGGTATCGTTTCTACGCAACTTAATTATCATTATTTTCAATATCTCAATTATAATTTTTACTAACATACTAATATTTCTCATAATAATATATACAGGGTGACTGGTGAATTACTATCGATATTTGAGGACGTGATATTTGACGATCATATATGACAAAATAAAAATTAATATAACATAAATATTAATAAACTTCTTAGTAAAGTTTACCAAAAGTTATGTAATTAATTACGCATCGTGTGAACACCCTACAGATTAGCTATACACACACACTCACACACTCGCGAGCGGCGGCGTAGTGTTGTATCAGCACGCCGCCGCTCGCGTCCACACTTGGAACACTTGGAACGTGTCAACACTTTATTTATTTATACGGAAATTTGGTTAAAAATTAAGTACCTATTTTTTTACATAATTCGAATGAGAATCATGTACCGAGTATTCTCCTTAAATATTGATAGTAATTCACCAGTCACCCTGTTTATATGAATTTTATTACTTACAAATGATACAATATGTCGTTTTGATGTTTCAATTTTGCATACAAAAGACATCAACGGGATCTTGTTTTGTATATAGGTATAAAATATCAAAAAATATGTGCAGTTTGGAATTGTAATACTTTTTTTCATTGTTAATCTATAAAATTCAACTTAGATTTTAGTAATACAAATATATTATATAAGTTAAAATATAGAATTTGTATCAGTCATTAATAGAATCCAATAATAAGAACATTTATTAAGAAATAACTCAAGAATATTAATTATTTAATTAATATGCATTAATTTTTATTTCCATTATTACTACTAACCCCATCTATGATATTTTTTGTTAACAATTTTCAGTGTTACAATAAGTTCATGCTCTATAGTGTAGATGGCGCTTTTCCTAGTTGTTATTAAGCGAAGGACATTAACAAATATTTAATTCACATATTATATATTTCTTTAGAAAGCAATACATATGTACTTTAAAATCTATTAGACTTATACAACTGTCTCCAACTGTTATAACTTTCTATATAAAGTTATGACATATACACATTTCCCAAAACTTCCAACGTCGTTGTGTAGATGGCGCTCCCAATAATAAATTTGATATCTTTACTTAATGGGTCAGTTTGTTAAAAAAATATTACTAACATATTAACAAAATTATTATATTACATATTTAAAATGTTTTTAAGAACTTTTTTTATGTTTATTTTAAAACAACCACTGTACAAACTTATGTCTTTTATTTATTTTTTTTGTTTAAGAATTGAATTTACCGTGTCGTGGGTTATATGGGATTTTTTTATTAAGAAGACCAATATTTTATTGTTTAAAAATACGAGGAAAACATAAAAATTAAATAGGATAAATCTTTAGTTAGACAGTTAACTTTAAAAACGACATTAAGTTGTTGTCATATAGAAAAAATATATATGTATATATGTAATTTACCATTTGTTGGACGAATGTAATTAAATTGTTTTAAATAATAAAATATCTGAAGAAAAGTAGAAACTTCTTGTAATAAAAAATAATTTTTATTAAAAAAAACATATATATTTAAAAATAAATTGTACAAATAAATAAATACGAACTAAATTTGAGACCACGTGGTCGAATCCTAATTTAGGATTTGTTGATCAGAGAACGCCAATAACTATAAAATAATCAATAAAATTATATCGCCATTTAATTATTTTAATGGCAATAATATAAATTAATACAAAAATATATAATCTACATTATAAAAATATTAAAAAATATATTATTTTACATTTCAAACTTACTTGCAAGACTCACTTTTTAGCACCTATTTACATTGAATAACAAAATAACAAAGAAATAAAATTAACACATATATATAAATGTGTGTGTTTGTTAAATATATATTAATAATTTCTTTTTCTTGATACATATTTTTAATATTTAAACGTAACAAAAAATTAGTTTCATAAAACACTTTGTAAAAAAAATAATTGTCTACAAAAAAAAACTTCATATTTTCATAATAATGTAATATAAAGACAAAATTTGGAGATAAATTAAAAAACTGTCAACTATGAATGAAAATTTGATAATTTAAAAGAATTTAAACAAATAATTTTATTAAAATTCACATACTTATATTATTAAAATTATAATTCCTCAAGATTTGTAAGGTTTAATTTACAAATCTCAGGTTCAAACCACGGTTGCTAACAAAAAATTTAACTCCAACAATAATTCGGTAACTTTAATATTAAATATAAATTAATGTTTCATTAAACTTATTTATGGATTAATTAATTTGTCGATCCAAGGCACGAATTTCTGTATGTTAGTGTAAACTCCGGGCAGATGTTCCCGGCCACAGCCAATGCCCCATGATACTAGCCCTATAAGGGTGCTTCGCCCCTCGTATTTCAAAGTCAGTGGGCCTCCGCTGTCGCCCTGACACGAGTCTCTGCCACCCTGGAAGTATAGAAGGATATGATGTTTTTTCGTTGAGAAAATTATTGACTTCTAAATTTCTATATATGACATACTATAATGTATGAATTGTATATCTTGAGTTTTTGCGTGGTGGGCTCAGCTCTAATCACTGTCATATATGCCCTCTAAATCAATAGAGAGTTTAATAAAATATAATATGGCATTTTATTGAGCTACACGAAAAGATAAAGTGGAATTTTGAACCTACACTCATATTATAGGTTGTTTACTGATTAAAGACTCAAGTTAATATAAAAATTAAGATAAGCTTAATTTGTTAAGTTTCTAGAACGTGATATTACTACAAGCATAAATTCTCATTCATTAGACTACTTTATTTCTATTATGTGATGATTTGAGAGTGAAAGTTAACACTACGTATGTAGTGAGTATGCAAACATCAGTTTATATACAGACGGAAATTCATATTTTACATAACAGTTTTGATTCTGTGTAGGCAAAGCTTCATCTTTCTTTATTTTTCTTTTAATCTCAGAAAATTGTCTGAAAAAGCAATCCCAGTTTTTGCCTTACGTTATTATATTAAGATAATACTTGTATTACACGCAAACGTTTGTTACAATGAAGAGATGTATGTTGCTGTTTTACTAAAACACTACTAAACTCATTTCGATAAAACTTTTCAGTGATATGACTCAGGGATCAGAATAGGACATAGGATATAATTCATCCAAAATTTCAGTGTAGTTTTGATTGGAACACGTCATGACAATTATATAGAGAATTGAAGACACGAGTGACAAATTGTAGATACTAGATGTTCCAGTTAATCAATATAACAATTTATAATAAACTAGGATAGATTACAGATATCTCTTCCAATTGGTCACAACATCATTTTTATATAAGTCAACATGAACAACGTTACAGGCATCAACTAGTATGTATAAATAACAATCTGACCTCTTTATATCCCGCACAGAGGAACACGTCGTGTATGGTCTCTCTCCTGCCGGCCGCTCTGAACCAACGCTGACAACGCTCATTGGGGATCACCTCAACATCGACCTCCTGACACAAGAAAATAGGATACAATAAATATATATATGAGATAAGGATACCATTGGCATATTTGTAATATATATGTCCATAAATTATTATGTATACATATAAAACATGTTATTTGAACCAGTTGTAATAATACGTAGAGATTTTTCCATTATAAGTCTTTTTATGTGTGTTATGTTGTATTACTTCTTGTTTATCGTGATTTAATTTGATTGTGGTAGTAATAAGAAGTTAATAATTATATCAAATATATGAAATATTATTGAAAATCGTTAAGACGACTTAATAAATTATGGCAGATTTGTCGTTTATTACAGATTTGCTCTTAAATTTAGTTTCTTGAGAGTAATGTAAAGACATTATTCTAAAGAGAAGATTATGATTCTATGGATATTTTGATCATTATTTTATCTGCATTAATGTGCTAATAATATATATACATGCACAAAAATAAAAGCTTCTTACATATTTCTCATAATAATAATGTAGATTCTTTTCAAATTTGGTTAAGTAGAGAGTGGAACTTGGACAATGGAGGTGAGCGTTTAACGCGCGTTAGATAGGGTCCCTTAAACCTACACCTGGGTCACAAGTCCCAGTCACTGTTGAAGCTCCTCTCTCTACAACGATGGACCCGACACACGCACCGTGAATACATGGAATGATGAGAGGTTTCGTCTCTCTATATATATTAAACCTACACCTGGGTCCCAAGTCCCAGTCACTGTTGAAGCTCCTCTCTCTACAACGATGGACCCGACACACGCACCGTGAATACATGGAATGATGAGAGGTTTCGTCTCTCTATACATATTAAACCTACACCTGGGTCGCAAGTCCCAGTCACTGTTGAAGCTCCTCTCACTACTACAACGATGGACCCGACACACGCACCGTGAATACATGGAATGATGAGAGGTTTCGTCTCTCTATATATATTAAACCTACACCTGGGTCGCAAGTCCCAGTCACTGTTGAAGCTCCTCTCACTACAACGATGGACCCGACACACGAACCGTGAATACATGGAATGATGAGAGGTTTCGTCTCTCTTACCTGTAACACTGATGGGACTGTACTCTGACCGTGTCTTGTACGTCCCCAGCCAGCCACGGTCGCCATTTTCCCGGCTAACTTCATTTGCTTTTGTGGTAGACAGACCTATAAACAATAAAAAGAATTCCTAATTATTCTTATTGCTAACCAAATAGAGTTATGTTTTGATTGGTTATATTTGTATGGAGATATTACTGAATGTTGAAACATCTTAATAAGCATTAGAAGCGTAATACTTTCAATATTTATGTTCTTTTTTGATTCTATGGAGATTTTTATGCAGCAGTCTTTTTTTCGCTATATTTTTCGTCCATATCTTTTCTCCAATATACCCATCCTTATTCATCTATTACGCTCTTTCTTTGATTTCCATCCACCCACTTACCCATCTGTCCATCTATATCTTACCGGCAGTATATGTTGTTTAAACACCACCCCCCTCTCCAACTGCACCAAGGCCACGTCATTCCTAAAGTCCGAAGGTTCGTATGAAGGATGGACCTCTTTTCGTTGAACAGCGAACTCTTCGTGCGAGTATCTTTCACCAGCATCCCGAACATCCCACTCACCAAGACGAACCCGCAGTTGGGAGTTAGGAGTACTGAAAATATAAAGATTACAAGATAAACATACTAAGGTTTGAATTTCAAGGTCTTACATCAAGATATATGGAATTATCAGATAATTTTGTTATAACAAAGAAAGAGCTTTCTGTTGGATATGGTTTTCAAAGAAAATTACTGTTTATGTAGACAAATGTGGGTTTTTCAAAGATTTTTGCCACCTAGCATGATTCGAAGAATAATGAAATCTTCTAATTGAAAAGGCTGACATCATGAGCTCATAATTTCGTCAAATCTTATTCACATTGGATGATGCAATATATATTTTTGCAATGAATTATATAAACATATATTTGGTATTTAAAACTAGATTAATTTTTAGAGCTAATAATATGTTCATTATAAACTTACGTGGCTACACAATGAGCGGCTGTAATGACCCATCTGTCAGATATCAAAGCTCCTCCACAAGCCAGCTTCTTACTGAGGAAACCGGATTTGATGAGAGCTGCTTGCCACGGATGAGAACCGAAACCGGTCGAATGACCACCAACTATCCGGTTCGACCGGGTGTAGTGTTCACCGCAACCTGGTGATGAAATGATGATGATGAAACGATGATGAGTTTATGAAACGATGAGTTTATGATATAATGTTGCTTCAACCAAAATCGACTATGTTATTGTATTTAAGTGTTATTTAAATTGGTGCATGATGATTATGAAAACGCAGTGCAGTTTTAGAAGCAGAAGAGAAATTAATTTCTATGAACACTGACGAACTGAGTTTCACTGTAAGCATAATATTTTAACCGACTTAAAAGAAAGGAGATTCTGTATTTGATCATTCTACTGTACATGATGTTTATGTTCTGATATAGAGATAATTTTGATTATGTTTTGTATTACATGAGGTTCATATTGGCTCATAATGACAAAAAAACAGGTAATATCACTTTTTTTGACAGAAAATGACTATTTAACTTTTGCAACAACACTCCAAAATCTGCATTGTCTAGGCCCTAGGGAAAACCAAATCTTTTGCGACGTATGTGTCTTCCACTAAAGCAGTCAGTAACAGTGCACGCCGTTGAATACCAGCTTTGTCATTTGCGTCGGTAATATTATTTGCCTTGCAATATTGTTCAAAACGGCTTATAAAAATGCTCCATTCCTGTGCAAGATGATCGAACACGAGGTTACCACCAAACATGATATTTGCACTCGACGTCATTATATTTTTACTCACAAAGTTCACAAAAACACTATTTGACGCGTGGATTGCTAATTCGTCGCCAAAATATTATATTTATGCGTAATAATGAAATAAAACATTGAACTTGTGGCACACAATTTACTGCTTCAACGTAGACTGAATTCACAAACATTATTTATCTACCTACTATCTGAATTTGTTACAGACACTATTATATGATAGCCAAGGTAGAATTTTCGTGTCCTGATATTTATTCTATTGTCTGAATGTATGTATTTAGTTCGTCAGTGTTCACACAAAACATTTATTATTATAACAAACATCTCACCGGGATAGCTAGGCCTCATCGGCTTCTGAGCACTGTGCACTGGCACATAATCATCATCACCGGGCCTATCACCTACACTCTCCGTGTAAAAATCGTCTGTGTGTGTTGTGCTCTCGTGGTACGAGGGTTTAACGTGGTAGTAGTGATTGTAGTCTGTGTCCCAAACCGGTTTGGGCCGGTTCGAACCGCTTTGTGCCGGTTTCGGCCGGTCTGTCGGTTTGTGCGGTTTGGGCCGGTTTGCCTCCGTGTAAATGATGATTGGATCTTCGTATTGTGTGTTTGTTTGATAGTCGTACGTCTCGTGGGGAAATGTCCCGATCAGTTCAATAAGATCACCTGTTTTAAATTTACCTATTTAATATTTTTTGTTGTACCAAAACTTAATTTTTGAAAAAATTAACGAGTTGAACTTAAAAAATAGGAATATTACTTAAAATATATTTATGAATTAAATAATGCTTTCTATAGTTTTTGATAGAAAACAGAAATACCTACTGATGATCACTGAGACTTCTTAATGATATCAAAATGTAAAACATAATCGAGAAATAAATCCGAAAACGTTTTTATTACCTAATATTATAATTATAAACAAATTAAACAAGTGAAATCATTCTATTTTAAACATCAACTATAGTCTATAACTTAGTGCTCATACCGCGGCTTTGCTTCAAACTTTACACATTTTTTTAAATTTAATATACCTTATATTTCATAAACAAGTTTTATAAAAGTAAACTTGGAAACTGTCCGTATCAAGTAACGATGAAAAATCATAGTTAGGATTATACGAGTATGTAAAGTGTAAGAAAAAGTAATGTACTAATTGAATAATTATATGTATATATAAGGCAAAATAGGACTTATGTATTTGTAAATTTAATTTAATTTATTTAAGGTATTATGCTTTTAGATAATAATTAGTTTGTTCTAGTTAAAGTTTGATATGTTATTTAAAATACGTGGCTTTATAAGACAACTATATTTTAAAGGTTTTTTTTTTAGAATCCTAAATATAAATATTAAAATTCCAATAAAACTGCCTTAATTATCGTTAAATTCTACATATATTAGGCGTCTATTACAAACCAAGTACTTAAACTTTCACATAATTACATAGTAACTTCTTACGTACGTGTATTTTTTATGAGTAATATAAAAATTACGTATAATACTAGTGCAATACTAATTTCCGTTTTAAAACTTCCTGAATGCGTAACTATGAATATATTAGTTAATATATAATACTTACTTAAATGAATTTTTAGTAAGTTTCCTTACGTACCAAGTATTGTATAAGACTTCGCGATTCATTTAAATGAAACTAATATATTCGAATTACTACTCCTGTTTCATTATTTCTATTCTTGGAATGTACTTCGAAGACAGGCCTAATAGGTTTTTTTTTCAATTTAGATAGAGAGAGGAGCTTGTACAATGTACAGTGAAGGTGAGCGTTTAACGCGTTAGATAGGGGTCCCTTAAACCTACACCTGGGTCACAAGTCCCAGTCACTGTTGAAGCTCCTCTCACTACAACGATGGACCCGACACACGCACCGTGAATACATGGAATGATGAGAGGTTTCGTCTCTCTATATATATTAAACCTACACCTGGGTCACAAGTCCCAGTCACTGTTGAAGCTCCTCTCACTACAACGATGGACCCGACACACGCACCGTGAATACATGGAATGATGAGAGGTTTCGTCTCTCTATATATATTAAACCTACACCTGGGTCACAAGTCCCAGTCACTGTTGAAGCTCCTCTCACTACAACGATGGACCCGACACACGCACCGTGAATACATGGAATGATGAGAGGTTTCGTCTCTCTATATATATTAAACCTACACCTAGGTCACAAGTCCCAGTCACTGTTGAAGCTCCTCTCACTACAACGATGGACCCGACACCCGCACCGTGAATACATGGAATGATGAGAGACTTCTTCTCTTTTAAAAACTACGATCTCCCGACGTTTCAGTTACTTTTTACAGTCAGACGAGATGTGATCATGGTTTCAAAGTAGTATGTAGTTTAAAATAATAAAAAACGCGTAGTAATGCTAAAAATATAAGTTTATTTACACCAAGTATCGAGATACAAGTAACGAGTACTTGTAAATAACATAATTAGGGGAAACACAATACTTTCCAATCTATCCAACGACCGGATACGATTAAGTTTTTTTTCTACTATTGTGTTAACCTCGGTCAGTTAACGCTTTCACCGAATTTCACCTAATCATTCTATTTTGTTTAACTTCAAGCTGTACGTCAATGTTAAAACATATAATTATATATACATTTGTAATATATTTAATAATATTTTAATCGCGAGGTAACCTGCACTTATAATTTTAAATGATAAGTTTGAAATCACCAACCCGTCAAGCAAGCGTGGTTATTAATGCTCAAATCTTCTCCATGTGAGAAGAGACAGCTCAGCAGTGGGCTCTGATAGGCTGATGATGATGACGATATTTCAAAGAAAAATGAGATCTAAGATTTTCGCAAGTCTTCCTCATTTAAATGACTTAATTAATATTTTTAACCCATTGATTGAAATGCGTTCATTTTTTAACCCGTCGTCGATTACGTAATTAAACCGGGTCACTAAGACCCGACATTCGACTTACATAAAAAAAATAACAATTTTGAGAAAGTGAAATAACACTGTGATGTTGTGTGAGATAATTATAATAAAATTTCCATTTCCGGTTACGAGGTTAACTAAGATATTATCTATGACTAGCATTAACCCTTGACTTTGCACGAGTCACGACTTTTAAACGTATAGTTAGGTTAAAATGGTAATAAATTTTTCAATATTTCTACCGATTGAGTAACAATCATATGTAGTAAAAAATATAATATTAATAGAAATAATTGAGACTAAAATAATCACTACTAATATTATAAATGCGAAAGTAACTATGTCTGTCTGTCTGTTACGCTTTCACGCCTAAACCACTGAACTAATTTTAATGAAATTTGGTACAGAGATGGAGTTGACCTTGAGAAAGAACATAGGATAGTTTTTATCCCAGAAGTTTTGAAAGGTTCTCTTGGAAACGCGATATAACCGAACTCCATGCGGGCGAAGCTGCGGGCGGAAAGCTAGTAATATATATATGTATTACTAACTGTGTTTTCCTTACAACTCAACTCCCTAACTACAAACGTATAGTTTCATAGTAAAAACTAAACAAATTAAGTACAGAGTAATTCCATTGTTACCGTTTCTTAATAAATCTCTAAGTTTTGGCAACTTTTGTTACAAAATGTGGGTCACATTTAAGAACAAAAGAATTATATTGGTCTTTACAAATAATAGATTTCTTGACTCTTTAATATCACTATTGCGTGATTTTCATATTATAATGTATGTTTGTTCGTTTGTTACTTCATTATACATAAACTAGTCGAAAGATTTCCGTGTATTTTGGTACAAATGTAACTAAATCTTAATAACACGATGATTACTTTTTACTAAAAAATCAGGGGCTTTTTAAGCGAAATCAGGTTAAAGAACTAGTTTATAAATTATATGTTAATTAAAATATTTGTAGTGTATGCATATAAGATATAATATATGTATAACACTGTTCTATAGACATATAAATTACGAAAATGTAGTTTTTGATACGTACAATATTAAGTGAAAAAATACATATATAGAATACTAGAAAATATTTGTATTAAGTTCGGTAATGCTAACCACGGTAAGAATACTAATGACGTATATACTAATATAAAATTTTAATAAAAATAAAGTTGTGTACACACTGAGAAGTGTCGAAGAACTTATCTTTAACACAAAGAATTATTGTATTAATACATAACAATTAATAATTAGGTAATTTGTAAGCACAATATTATTGACATAAAGTTAAATTGTGTATTAAGTTAAATAAGTTATATATTAATTTAATTTTACGAGTATTTAGTTCAAGAAATAAGGCTACTGTTACACATGCTAGTAAACAGTACGTGCTCAATCAAAGCATACATCATCAGTCTATCAGAGCCCACTGTTGTAAGGCCTCTTCTCACATGGAGAAGGTTTGAGCATTAATCACCACGCTTGCTTGATGGGTTGGTGATTTCAAACTTATAATTATGAAATTAAACGTCCAGGTTTCCTCATTATGTTTTTCTTCACTATATCAGTGGTGTCTAAATTCGTACTTAAAAAAAAGCATGTGTAACAGTAGCCTTATTCTATAGAAATTTACGTAAGTTTTGAATATGTTATAGTAATAATATATTTGTTTAACTCACTCGCGTTGTGTACAGGTGGCGCCACTTCTGTAGGTCGTTCTGTTGTCTCTTTATCCACACAACACGACCAAATCATGCCTCCAGAGCATAAATCCAAGGGTTTCCCACCTCCAAGAACACAGGAGATACTGAGTGCACACGCGTACCTTGCACCTCTGTACCGACAAGTTTGTGGTATCACTGGAACAGAAATTAACATATATACAGGGTGACTGGTGAATTACTATCGATACTTGAGGACGTGATATTTGACGATCATATATGACAAAATAAAAATTAATATAACATAAATATTAATAAACTTCTATGTAAAGTTAACCAAAAGTTATGTAATTAATTACGCATCGTGTGAACACCCTACAGATTAGGTATACACACACACACACACACATACGCGTGTCGTGACGTAGTGTAGTATCAGCACGCCGCCGCACGCGTCCACACTTAAACACTTGGAACGTGTCCACCCTTTATTTATTTATACGGAAATTTTGTCAAAAATTAAGTGCCTATTTTTTATACATAATTCGAATGAGAATCATGTACCGAGTATTCTCTTTAAATATTGATAGTAATTCACCAGTCACCCTGTATAAGCGAGTATAATTACGTATATTATATTCATGTATAAGTATAGTATTCATATATATATTCATGTATAAGTTTAAAAAATATTGCTTAATGCTTAATAGTATGTAAGATTTAAATAGCTTGAATATAGCTATGATGTAGGTACATTAAAAAGCTATATATGTATATCAAAATGATTGAATTTTGTACTGACTATGTATTATTGAATCAAGTCAATGATCATCTATAATAAATCAATAATTTCGCTTTCTAAGTATAAATTAAGTATACAATAGCCTCATGATTTAATAGTTGGCTTGGTGTTGCGCACGCGCAGGTGAAAACCGATTTGCGTTCACCGAATCGCGTGAGCCTGTTACCTCATAGAAAAAAACAAATAATGAAAAATATATACATTTATATAAAAATTACGTATATTTGTTTAACAAAGTAAAATGTATATTTGTTGAAATAACAAAATGGCTTAGTTATATATAACAAAAAATTAATAAAATTTTCGACCCAACAATAAGACACATAATCATTTTAAATAATTGATAATTACAACAAGTTTAATGAATAATAATCTTTATTATAATATATTTAAAGTATATATTCGTAAAACTAATGTTTTCCCTTACTTTCTTTATATTCAGTTATCCTGATTTTAAGGAAGTCATTACTATTTGATTAACTTTCGCAGACTGGCATCGTTAGAATGAAATAGAAAGCTTTGATCTCGGTTTAAATATTAACTTAATGTTAAAAGTTAACTGCATTATGTATAGAGATTAATTAAAGTTTGCGTGTGTTAAAATGGATTGTTAACCTACCCCCCTTTTGGTCTATGGAACTATATTTAGGTATACATTCTTATAAATAAATATTAGTCTGAGTTCACGTAATTACGAAATATTGCGAGTAAATAGTATTTCATAAATTAATAGTATTATGTTATTGAGAGAAACGGAAAACGCTGAGTATGTAGTGCAAACTTGGGGTAAACATGTATGGTTAGATGAGAACATATAATGAAAAGATATTGCCATATATATTCCACAAATGCTAACAGAATTATTTTTTAAACATTTCCTTGTGATATCCACTTGCTATTTCTATTTTTGTTTTAGAAAATATTCAATTATTATGTATATAAGTAGTTTCTGATCTTATTTCTTTGATGATTACCAACTATCATATATAATTACTACTATATAAATGTGATTAAGTCAACAAGATTCCTCTTTACCATTCTAATATTAAATATAATAAATTTCCTGGCTATGTTTGTTACTTTATAACACAAAAACTACTTAATGGATTTCAATGAAACTTAATAATATTATAGCTTGAACATAACAATAAGATATATGATATAAATTATCCCTGAATTTCTTTATTTTTTTCCGGAACAAATCATAATAGTCGCACATAATAATACATATGAAGTTCCGAATACAGACGCTAGATGTCGTTGTCAATAAATTACTATATCTTTTTTATATCTCTCTAAACCCAATCAGAACATGCAATGCTTATAAATCAAATATTAGAATATAAACAATAAATATAAAGTTTTTCGCACTAATATAAAAAATAATCAGTAATTGTATCATAATATATATTATTATTAATATATTATTTGTAAGAACATTAAAATAAAAGTAAATAGTAAATAATAATTCTGACTACGTAAAGCAATGTAAATAAAGTTTTAATTGAAAATAGGAAGTAGTAATACTTAGTTTGTTTCTTCTACTTTCGATTTTTCGTTAATAATTATTTTATGGCCCACAGATTAAATTAATTATCTATATAATTAATTTTAAAAAGCATTGACATAAAATGCAAATATCAGTTTTGAGCAGACTATCATCGCAAATTAAATATTACAGACATAAACATACTTCTAAACGAAAATATAAGGTTTAATATATGTATTTCAACGTTTCAACTTTATTTTATTATAATACATAGCCATATATAAAAAAATATTTGTTTTTAATTTTAATGTTATAAAAGTTTTCGCTTAAATCCTAAAAACTAAGTAACGAAACGATTTTATTTAGCTTACAACCTTATTAATATATACTTACTTTTTCCTAATAAATCCATTATAGAATCGTCTTCCTGTGATGAAGTGTATTGATTCTGATACGGTCCTTTCCTTCTTCCGAGCGCGTCCAATAATAATATTTCTTTTTCCTGTCCATTCGGCCTCCGTCTATCCGACGCTATATCTAAATCTTCTTGTAAATTCAACACGTCGTTCTCAATTTCCGAACACATTACATCCAGAGCGAATAGAAAAAATATAATAACTAATCTTCTGCGTATTTTGAAATTGATTATTCCCGCCATAATTTGTAATGCACGACACTCACAATAAACACATGACTACACTTAAATACACGAATATATTAAATTATATTTTTATAATTATCATTAAATACTTTTTTGTGTGAACCTTTTTTATATAATCTGTGGTAGACGTGTATACTCTGTAAGTTTGTTATCGGAAGTAAGCGTCTTTAAACAACACGTTCCTTTTCACTTTCGTTCAGACATTTTCTCTGGCGTCGTTACGCGCTAAAATAAAATATATGTTAAATAAATTCGCGGGCAGAATATTAATGTGTGATGTCAGATTTCGTAATTATTTTTTTTATTCTATTTTGTTACATAATTTAATATATATAGCTTATTTTTTTCAGTATTTTACGTAATAAGTAACTTTCATTAATTAAGTTTATTTTTTTTAGATTTTTTGGCCATGTTTTGTTTTGTTTTTAAATGTTGTCTTTGACATATCAATGCTTAGGTATAATTATTTTTATTCTGTTTTTCCTTTTCAATATTTTACGTAATATTTGACTATCATATTATAATATTTTTTTTATTTATCTGTATTAAGATCTTTTGACTATGTTTTATTTTGTTTTGTTTTTAAATGTTTATTTGGACTTTTTAATTTTCAAACAATTTTTCGATTTCAAATAGTTTAATATTAATTTAAACTACATTTTAAATATATATAACTATTTATTACTATTGAATATAAAAAATAATCAATATATTTTATCTGTAGCTTACCTTAAATGAACCACAGATTAAAAATTATTTTGACATATATATTTTTTATAATTTTATTAGTATTATAATCTATATGTTTTATATATATTAATATTAAACAAACTATGATATAAATATCGTAATACTGATAAATATCAAGACAGCGGTCACACTTGAAGCTTCTACTTTCGCCGCGGCTTTCCAAAACTAACATAGGAACGAAACGTCGTATCTCCTACAAGCGATAATCAATTCTATTACAATACAATAATGTTCAAAATCCAATGTGGTTATACAAAAAACAATAGTAATTCATAGCAAAATTAACCTAATTTTATATAAAATAAGATTCAGTTTCCATTGTTAGATCTTTGGTGGAGTATTTAAATCCTAATTTACAGCCAATTAAGGATTTCTCTTATATAATATATGGTGTACATTGCCTATAGCCTACCAGGTATACATGTTATAGGAGAATATACCATATTTGAAGGAAAATAAGGTCGTATTTAGAATGGTATATAATACATATATGTACTTATAGATTTCTATATAAAATTAGTATCATTTTATATGGTATATACAAAAACGAGCTAATTTGAGTTAGCTTATTTTTTTTACGTACACACCGACAGTTTCTGCGTTTCTCGTGAAGAGTGTAACTAATGACGCTAACTTTGATGTGGCGTCGGGAACTTATATTAAGGATAAAAGTTACATTCCAAGAAAATAATTTTTTTGTAAAAAACTTTTAATAAATTATTATATAATATAATCGAAATAACATATATTTTATCCTACTATTATTACATGAAAAAGTTTGTAGATTTGATCCACGTATGTAGTATGCATGTTTGTTGATACATAACTCGAAAACTAGTGAACCGATTTTAGTTTACCATTATAATAATGTAGTTTAGAAATCAGAATGAAATATAGGATATAATTTATGTCAGAATTTATTTCATAGAAACTGCATTTTGCATTTTCCGAGACAGACTAAGGATGTCACTGTCGTTTACTTAAAATATATGTATATTTTCACATACATACATCTCTCTCTAAATTCTAAAGGTCGCGCGGACAATGTCACGGGCAAAAGCTAGTGTGTTATTTCTTGTTGATTTAAATGCTATTTCTTGTTAGTTGGAGACCAGCCAAGAGGATGTTCAAGATATTGTAATACATCAACAAAACAACTTTTATACAGGGTGACTGGTGAATTACTATCAATATTTAAGGAGCATACTCGGTACATGATTCTCAGTCGAATTATGTAAAAAAAATAGGCACTTAATTTTTGACCAAATTTCCGTATAAATAAATAAAGTGTGTACACGTTCCAAGTGTTCCAAGTGTGGACGCGTGCGGCGGCGTGCTGATACAACACTACGCCGCCGCCGCGTCTGTGTGAGTGTGTGTGTATACCTAATCTGTAGGGTGTTCACACGATGCGTAATTAATTACATAACTTTTGGTAAACTTTACTTAGAAGTTTATTAATATTTATGTTATATTAATTTTTATTTTGTCATATATGATCGTCAAATATCACGTCCTCAAATATCGATAGTAATTCACCAGTCACCCTGTATACTTGTGCGTCTTTTTTTGGAATTATTATTAAAATTATATTTGACTATATTTTATTATATGTATATGTTGCCAGATACACACACATATACATATATGTTAGTGTCATATTTTATCATCTATAAGACACGTTGCGAAATTTTACAACAATAGGACAATCTGTATGCAAAAATTACGAAATGAAGCACGCTCTGTTTGGAATGATGGAGGCACAAGAATACAAGAATATATATATATGTATAATATGTTTTTATATATGTATAAATAATCAAATATGTTTAACAAATGCATGCTTACAATAAAATGTAAATAATATTTTTCGTATATACGCGACTTTATTTTTGATAAAAACTATATACTCCCGACGTTTCGGTTACTATTCAGCAACCGTGATCATTAAGACGAGATGTGAATGAACTCGCTAAAATCTTAGATATCATTGTATTCTTACAAGTATTAAACGTCACTACATATATAGCGTTAACAGTTTTTCAATCATAAAATTTAACATATTCAGTGGTGGCCTAGTGGTTAAAAGGCCCGCCTCTCATGCACGAGGGCACGGGTTTGATCCTGGCAAGTACCAATGTGATTTTTCCGAGTCATACGTACTTTATAAGAGTATTTAGTCATCACTGATTATTGCATTCCCAAAGAGGGTTGATGTCAGGCAGGCGGCCGGTCGTAAAAACAATTAGCCGAAACTATTCACACCATGTAAGGCAGACCCTGGCTAAAGCTGGGAAATTGCCAGGTAGAAGAAGATATTTTAACATAGTAATGATGTATGTTATTAAATGAGAAACGGGAGACGCTACGTATGTAGTGTCGAACTTGTGTTAAGCATAATTATTTCAAATATAGACGCGACTTGAAAACTGTCAATGTTTTAAATCGATACGAATGTATTAAATACATTTGTTTGCAAATATATTATATATTCTTTTATAATTAACACGCAATTTATTTCCAAATTACATAATTTTTAAAAAAAATAATATAGGTACAATAAGTTTAAATTCTACCAAAAGTCGAAAAACATTTTGTGAGCTATTAATAGTTTTTTTACGCTTCATAACTTAAAAGCATACTTTTTCGTAATTTCAAGATTATATATAATTTTTTATTACATTTTACCTTTATGTTTCCGAGCTAAAGATTGACAGACATACAAATAAAATGATTAAGGAATTCAACTCCTATAAGCCATACCTTGTTATCTTAGTACAAGTAAATATAATCAACCTATATAATATCACTTTGGAAGTACATATTTTTAAACTATTAGTATCATAGTAAACGTAAATACTGACAGTAAGGTAGTATATAATATTTTTCTCTATATAATATATTTTTATATATTTTTAAATATTTATTTTAATTTTATTTGTTATTTATTTATATATTGTTTATATAAGGTAATTTTTTTTTCGTATTATTTTATTTTATTTATTTAAACAATTTAAATTTATTAATATTATTATTTAATATATAATATTTTTTTATTGTTTTTATGACATCACACATAAATATATATGACTTACCAATAAATATATTTATAATCACATTTTTCACATAATTTTTATTATTTTTTTTATACGACGCGTGTTGATTTGTTTGTTACCAGATATAAACTGTCACGAGTCTCTGAAGACGGCCGAGGATAGAGGTTGTCAACATTTAATGATATATAATATACAATTATAATAATATTTATATGGAATATATAACGAATGTAATAAGATTGAAATGATAGTAGTTAATGTGGAATTAAAAATCATTAAAAAACTGGGTTACTAATAATTACGAATAATATTTTTATTTAAAAAAGTTTATATATTGCTGTACTAGCTTTGTACATGACGTTGCGTGAAAAAAATTATATATTTTAAAATGGATGTAGCTTAAGTTACTTCTTATTACTATATCAACCCGACAGTTAAGTTCCATCAAATTCGGCTCAGTGCTTTCCGAGATTAGTGCGAACAAACGCAAACAGACAAACATTAATAAAAAAAATATGTATATATGTTTATATTTATAAAGTTTATGTTTATATATAAAGGTTGTGTATCCCTGACGGCGCCAGAGAGCGGCGAGAGTTGGTTGAAAGTAGATTTTACTTTTCAACATAAAACTTCCGATCTAGTTTTGTAGATTAGGTGGCTTAAACAACTGTTGTATTATTTGGGTGACAACGGTACATACAATTAAGGCTAGCACGTAAATCACGTTCATACGAACGTATTATACGTCTTAGATATACGTGTACGTGTAACAGATCGTTGAAGTACATATAACGATGTCATTTTTTTTAAGAGAATATAAATATTAAATTTGTTTTTTCACATTCACTGTATAGACCAGTGTCGATAATTTTTAAAACCAAATAAAAATATAGTAGGATGAAACGAATTAGAAAAGGAGGTGAATATTATAAAAATTAAAGGAAAAATAATTTACGGGCGATCTGAGGTCGGGAAGGATATGGGGGTGCCGGGTGGTTATTTAAGGATAAAAACGGTTTTTCTCGATTTCCGGTAAAACTAAGTCTTAAGGTAAAAAATAAATATGGGAAAGTTGTAGGTAGTAAAAAAATTTTTTACGCTTCAAGAAAAACTCATTAAAACTGTATGGGGTTACATAGCATTGAATTGTGAATGAAATCATTGAATATAGAAGTAGAATTATTGCAT